TAAGGATGGATGTAAAAAGGTGTATGATATTATAATTCGAAAAATATGAGACATTTTCTACTTGAGAAAATATAGCAGTTTTTGAAATGTGTGATTTAACTTTCTAATATTAGCACATACATTGCGTGGCATAACTATCAAACCACCTTAAAATTTTCCATCCTTATGCATTGTGATTAAAATAAAAATGAACTACTTTTGTTTAGTGAATATAATCTATACTCTTCTGGAGAAACATTATTTCTCAACACAATTTCAAATATGGCATACTTGGTTCGTTTTTATTTTAAGCACCATACACAGAAACTGAAATTTGTAGGATAGTTTTATATTTATGCCACACAGTGTAGAAGTGACTTATATTCAGAGCTGAGCAATTTTTTTCTGCGTATAATAAATATTCGAATACTTACGGAATATAAAAAATTTTAATTCTTCCATAAGTGCCTTTCCTTCCTGCTTGTTCTCTGTTATTTAAAATTGTTCAATACTGTTGTTTAACACTAGATCTATCAGCATTAAATCTATACTAAACTAAACTGTATAATATATTAATATGTATAATAGAGAATAGAATATAACAGTACGTAGTATAGTGTAAAACATATAATAAATTAAAAGTCAACGTAAATTCTAACTAAAATACCTTTATGATTTCAGTAATTGTAAAACAAGAAATTAAAAATTCGTCGTTTTGACGGGGTTGGTTATTTTAGTATTAACAAAACAATTTCTAATATAACAGAAACCGAACAGGATATCTTAAGCTTGTCTGAGCAACCACGGTTCATAAAGAAATAAATTTCATTACTAGAATGTAGAACCTTTCAACTACATGTAATACGATCACAACATTTAATATGAGCGTAAGTGTGAATTAAAATATCTGGATCCCAGAGCCAGAGCGCGTTAACTTCACTTTTAAAAAAAATTACATTTTACATGTTTCCTGTATCAAATTTTTCACTCATTCTGATGGTAGACATTATTGTCTTCTAAGTCGTTTAGTTTTTAATATAATAGTATAAAAAGTATATTAAGTCTATATTTCGTTCCGAGTTAGACAGTCAAAATCACATAGAAGACTTAATGCAATGTTCACCATTTCTACATATCGAGACTTGTCTTAAGTCCAATCAATAGTTAAAGGTAGCGATTAATTTACTTTCCTCTAAAGTTTAAAAAGCGTGACGTAATATACTTTGGCTCTGGGGTCTAGATATAGAAAGTGAAATACAACTTTTATTGGTGATCATTTAGTAACGAGGTAAAGAAAATAATTAATTACGAACGCAATTATTCTTTCCTTCCTAACACTAGCACAACAAATATCTAATCCAGTGATAAACAACGTTTTCTTTCCTGCGGGTCAAAACTGAAAACCCAATAATCCGAACGGGTCACTGCAATCGCAACCTTAAAAGGCCCGATTTATCAATTAAAAATTATTACTTTATTTTAGATTTCACTTACTCTGATATCACTTTATCGGATTAAACTGGGGCTCACAACTAATGTTGACAAGTTAAATAATTGTTCGGTTGCGGATTACTCTACCCTGGACAATAATCAAATATGAATCCAATTCGAATCGTAAATCTTCACAGTGTATCAAGAGTTCGATATCAGTTCCCCTGTCCAATCGCTACTTACACGACACGTACCTACCAAACACCATACTTTTGCCCATCGAAAGAAACCCAGACCCCATCTCTCTCCGAGGGGGGAAAGCACAACCAGGATCGAAGGAGAAAAGCTCGACAAAAGAGCCGGATGGGGGAGGAAAAAGGACCAAGACGCGGTGGGTTTTACACGTGTACCAGTTCCTCAGTGAACAGTATATGTTTGCTCGGTTGGGTAGAGGTTGTAGGGTTGACGGGTTTGGAATAGCTGAATAAAGGGCCGAAGGGCTGGAAAACGGCGAGAGAGAAAGTTGTTGGTAGAAAGCGGCCGCAAATTCGATAAAGTTTCGAGCGTGTCTCTCTCACTCGCTCTCTCGTCTTGCACGCGAGAACCAGACCTGGTGCTACGAATTGGAGAGGAACGGAACCGTCTCGCGACTTCCACTTCCGGCGTTGAAAGAAGGACCACGTGGAAAAGGGAGAAACGCGGAGGACCGTGACTCGCGATGAACAGCAGAATTGGATAGGAAGAAGAAAATGAACGGTTCAGAGAAAATCGGATTTCCTGATAGGGTAAAGTCCGGAGAGACGCCACCCTTTTTTGTTGGGAGCCAACAACTTTTTTGGTTTTGTACTAATTAATAAGACCTTTTTTTATTACAATAACACACTCATATAGAATGCAAAAGTACAAACAATTCTAAACTTTTCTCGTGTAACACACAGGTAGGTAAAGTGAAGTTTTTCCCAAAATTTTTTATTAAAAGCACTATTTTCTCTTTTTGATGTTTTGTTTTCTTACATTTTTTTTCACACAGTTGTTGTATTGTAGGGCATACGGTTAAGAACATTAAATATTTCATAAAGTAATGGCCATCTGCGGCTGCAACAAATATCATTGGCTTCAGAATTGGAAGCTCTATCACTGTGCTAAACCTCATTAAAAAGTCGACAGTACACCTGGGGACCTCTTCTTGTCAGTGTCGAGGAGCCTTCGACACTCGTAGAGGATTTACTGTACATTGTGCAAGACTCGTCGAAACATTTTTGGCATGAGCAACATTTCATCCAGTTATGCGTCTTTTCGGTAGTAAAATAACATTTCCAACACTCTACGCAATATTATAATTACCATTTAATATTATAATTCGATCATTATAAGCCAGAGCATCTATTACTTTATGTGGCGTCTCTCCTTATTTTGTGGAAGAGATACCACATGTTCAAAAAGCAAACTAAGTATGTATAACATCAAAAACATTGTGTTTACTAATTAATAAGGAACCATATTAAACAATAAATCGGGCACTAACTTTGTACCCTGTCTTCATTATGCTCGTAATAGGCATTAATGTTTCATATACACAGAATTTTGACGAAATTTTTCGCAGTTTTTCCTTTAATGCTTCCTCGATGCGACATGTGCAGCGCAACAGAGTAGGCACTAAGTTGTAGTCTTAGGCACACAAGTGGGGTTATAGAAAGACGCAACATATTGTCGCCCGAGTTTTTAACTTTGCTAATTCCGTTGTTCAAACAAATAAAGTTGATCAGTCTAAGTGTTTCGCATTGGTCCAAGCAATACAAATTCATCATAAGGAAATTCAACCTAAAAAACAACCAATATTCTTGTAAGACCTAACTCCGAAACTTTGGATGTTTCTTTCTAAATAGTTGTATCTCTAAATACTATCAACAATTAAAAATTTATGTAGATAATGTGATAGACTTTTTTAGATGATACTATAGTATGTTCGATTATTTCACTACTTTCCTGCTGCTATAATATTAAACGTCGTAAACTTTAAAGTCAGTTTCCTCAGTTTAGAAACTAGTGGAGATAGAACACTTCAGAACTAGAGCGATGATATGTAATTTTTTTTTCCAGTCGTAAGATACTACAAGTGTGGACGTCTGCCCTGAATTTACACTATACAATGAGAGTTGCTCGTCTATGTTCGATTTTGCGTCGCGAACTCTTCCATTATCCTCGAACCCATTCGACTGGGTTACAATCTGTTGACATTTTGGAAAAGCTCGAACGGTCGAGTGTCAAGCATTTTTCAAATGAAGTTTCCTCGAGTGAAGGGCAAACCTGCCCCCAGGCTTGATTCTGGTTACCATGAAAATATTTCTTTTACGGGGTTTATTTAATATTGCAAGTTCTTGAAACTTTTGTGATTTAAGTACGGTCCCGCTAAGACTACGGGACTACTGCAAGGGCTTACGGTGGATATCGGTGTGTAAGAGGATTACCTTAATTACGGCGTATTTAACTCTTTTCAGGAGATATTCGGCGTGACAGCTGGTAACGTTAGAAGTTTAAAGTGGTTGTGATGTTGTTTAAGTTTCCGAAATTCTGGTGAAGAAATGATGTATTTTGTTTGATTGTATTGTGAGTACTGAGAGTGCATGAGAGTAATGGTTAATTCGTGATATACAGGGTGTTCCACGATAAGTACCTTTTGATATAACTACTGAAGGGTAGGTACGATAATAGGAGAAAGTGTAGGGGGACTTTTATTATCATTTTCTATGTGGAATATCACTGAAAAAAATGTTTGCCTTCAATTTGTCCAGGTCATACTATCGTCATCGCGTGATTATTAAATGGAATGCTATATTTTTCTTTTAGTATTATGAACGTACAGAAACAAAATAAGTTTAGCGTATGTCTTTGAAATTATCCTGAGGTAATCCAAAGTCGTAAGGATGAACGACAACACGGAACTTTATTTGTCTCAGCTTAACGGTGTTCAGGAAAAATTACGAAAAATTCGCTCCGCTTGCTCCTACGTGAAGGGATTGTCTTGCAACAGGAGAACGCTCGTCTACACATTTCACACAGAACACTGGGAAACATTGAAGAGATGGGCTAGAGACGCCTAATTTACCCCCCATATAGACCAGATGCCGCTCGAAGCGATTACCACTAATTCCGATCGTTGCATCCGTCACTAAACGAAAAACGCGTTTTTAAAGTGGACAATGTCATAACGCACCTTTCTACGTATTTTGTTTCAAAGTTACCCGGTTTCTATTTCAGAGGGATGAAAAAATGACCAGGAGTATAATAAATATGATCGATTCGAATGGTGCCCATTTTGATTGAAAATTCTTATGCGTTAAATTTTAATCAAATATTTAATATCTTAAAACGTGTATCAACCAACTACACATAACCTGCATGTAATCCAAGGTGGATTCGATATAAAATTCAGTAGATCGTAACGCGTTGTATCGTGTGATACTTAAGACAGAGTCTGCTTAAACATTTACAGGCATCGCCGCCCGTTCAGACTCTCGTACGCCGTGCGATGGGGGATACTTAATGTAATATCGCCCCGAAGTTCCCCGTAAAATCATTTTGCACCGTACCTGGCTCAGATGCGTCACATGGCTGGAAGCGTAGTAACTCGCCCTGGAACCGCAGGGTCTCGCGTAGAGCGACTCCAGGTCCGCAATGGTCGCGTAACTTCCGGAATTCGCGCTTCCGGGCCGTGGGTCGACCCTAACCAGAACAGAACTTCTGGCCAAGCCGCCGGTGTCTGCCGCCGAATAGCTGCAGCAGGGCAGTGTTTTCCTAAAAGGACAGACGACTTTGTAGCCACGTGTAATGATTATACACGGGGGTTAATTATTTCTGTAATGCACGACACGGTCCCTGCCGCCGTCGTGCATCGCCTATAACCCGCTGCGTGAATAATAATCCAGGCCACGGGTATGCGACCGCTACCGTTACGCCTGGTGGCTCGTTCCTCTCTTGGTCCGACTTATCGTTTACCTGTACCACTGTTACCTTAATAGTTTGTAGTATTAACTCTGTTAATAAGCGTACCACGAATTGTTACGCAAACTTACCGTGTTTGGGGACTAATCCATGGGTACAGGAGCTAAATATCGTTGTTCAAAACAATTAGGGGATCGCTATTGTGGGCGCTGTTAGTGCGCCAACTGTGCGAAAGAAATGAAATAAATAGTACAGTTTGATGAACTGAAATTTGTACGATATTAACATCCGGTTTTGTTTTTGCAAGAATTTTTACGATAATTATTGATGGGTACAGCAGCTGCAGCACATGATCTGGTAATTGTTTTGAGCAGTATAGAAAGTTATTGACCTGCTAACTGTATGTATTTACTACAGGAGACGCTTACTTTATCATTTTAGTGGCAATATACATATATGTAGAACCTTTCTTGCCGATCGGCAGTACAAAACTTTTTTAACACTAATCGTACCGAAACTTTTACATACCTATTTGTACCGTATTTAAAACTGGTCATTTAATCGGCAGTCGATACGGTTAGTGTTAAATGACATTCAAATATTAAAAGAACGGTGTTACTTTGATTCCTAGTTCGCTATTTTTCGTAAGCAAACACATTGTTATCAAATTTTTTTAAAATATTTTAAATAGTTTTAAATGAGAAAGAAATTTTTGTACATAATACCAAAAACTGCAGTGAGCGTGTTAAGGGGTTTATTGTAGTTGGAAATTTTGTTAAATTCAGCAGCATCAAATTTACTTTTTGAAAGCGGCCAGTACAGCAGATTGTCTATTGTATAGGTCTGGAATAGATGACTCTGTGCATGTTAAACAAAATTTTTGTTTTACATGTAAATTGAATTTGAAACTTTAGACACGCTTTTTTTCAAAACAACATTTTCAAACTGGGTGACCATGATTAATCGAAAGCCGCTGAATGGAACCGTTCCAAATATTGTAGATATAATAATCTAGTCTCTCGTTTATGCAAATATCTAGAGAAATACTTTTGAAGTACTTATTATACTCTCACTTTATTCTGTAAGATAATTTCTAACATCATGACGAAAAAGAAATTAAGAAGAAATTAGAATCCTTATAATCTTGATCGTGTTATAATCTACAGGAGAAATTTTAATTTTTAGATTTACTAAAGAGGATAATTTATGCTCGAGAATTATGTGTCCCATTGTCCAACTTTTTTTACTTTCTTCTCGTATATTTTTATTAGATGGAAAAGTGCATTCTCTGGTCCTGCCTTAAAAGTAGATCATATCGCGGCGTTGTAATCCGAACAGTCATAATATCTCGGGAGAGTCACATTTTTGTACAAAGGGTAGAGAATGTATTAAAAAGATATCGAAATGTAACATTTTTGAAATTTATGACTACTTTCTCGCTGTATGATTATTACTGTTTCAACAAATGTACTTAAAGTATCATTCCAAGAATTGAATGGATTTTATTACAGTTTATAGAAAATAAATTGTATATCTAGAATTGTGTAATATAATTAATAATTAATTGGAACTACAATTTGTAGGAATTGTCGATTTGAAACGGATATTGTTTGAGTATTAGAAGTAGTGAAGAATAATTCAAAAGAATGTGCTAAGTTTAGTTAAAAAAATGAGAATAAAATTATTACCGAATATTGGAAATAACGTTTAAAAATTCAGGTAGCAAAATGTAATAGTTCAATGACTACAACTCCTGCTTATAACACTTACTTTACTAGTAGTTTGGAACGAATATACACTGTAATAAATACATCCATTATCAAAATTTTTTACTCTATCCAATCTATTCTAAAAATACTGAATGTTACGCCCATAAAATAACTACAGGGAGAACTATCGCTGATAACATACATTTTCCTCAAAGTTTGCAAGAAACCTATTTTATTAATTATATAAATTCTTTGCGTATAAATAATAATACAATGATAAAAAACTGAAAGATTGAAAAACTGAATACTTTGAAATTCCATCACATTGAATTCATTATAACTGTTTTTTTTTTTTTTTAATTTGTTTATTTATTGCCGCATCAACCTCTTGTGGTTCATTAGCGACTTAGGACTACGTTACATATATTTGATTACATATACGTTACTGCTATTTTTATACTTTTGAGTCTAGATGCGGTGTAGAAAATTGATTTCTTTTAGGAAGGCTAAGGTGTTTTCAGATGAAGCTTTATCGTTGAGACTTGTGTTAAGGTCTTCTGGTATGTGATGCTTTCTTCTTTGTTCTTGAAATAGAGGGCAGTCGATAATTAAGTGTTGCACTGTTAGTGGGATGTTGCAATTGTCGCACATGTTTGGGTTTCCTTTTGTTATAATGTGTATGTGGCTTAAATTCGTGTGCCCAATTCTCAGTCTATTTATGGTGATTTGATTTTGTCTTGAGAAATTTAATGCCGGGCTTTTTTCATGTATATTTTCCCTGATTTTATGGAGTTTTTGTGGTGTTATATTTTGCCATTTTTCGTTCCACGCGTTGTGTATTGCATTTTTAGTCAGTTTTTGGGCTTCCTTGTAGTTAAGAGGTAGGGTTAGATGTATGTATTTATTGTGATTTTCAGCTGCGTTTCTAGCTAAAAAGTCAGCTTTCTCATTTGGTTCGATGCCTACATGAGATGGCACCCAGCTGAGAATTATTTCTGTGGATTCGTGTGTTGATTTAATATCGTTATATGCTTCTAAGATGTTTTGTACCAGATAGTGATGTTGAGATTGGTGTTCTATGGCTGATAACACACTATTAGAGTCTGAAAAGATTATTGAGTTTTTGAGTTTGGCTCCTCTGATGTGTTTTAGTGCTTCTAATATTGCGAAGGCTTCACTATCGAAAATTGTGAATTCGTCTGGTAGTTTGTATACAAGATTTTTGTTTGGTAGTACTATGGCACAGCCTGTTCCTCGTTTAGATTTTGATGCGTCAGTGTAGATCTGAGTAAAGTTACTGTAGTGACTAATTTTTGTGTTAAAAAGGTTTTTTAGAGTGCTTTGCTCAAGGTTGGTTTTTTGAATGTTTGGTTTAAGAACGATTGGAGTATATCTGATCCAAGGAGGGGTTTTGCTAGACTGCCGTATTTGTATTTGAGGGATTGTTAGATTTAGTTCTTGTAGATAGTTTTTAATTCTAATACTTAGAGGTTTTGGGTAGTTTTTCTTTTTTTTATAAGGTTCCTCAGAGGTTTTTGATTGTAACAGATTATGAATTGGGTTTTGTGGTGTAGCTGAGGTAGAAACAGCGTAATTCAAACATAATTTTTTTCTTCTGAATTTGAGCGGGATAAGGTTTGCCTCACATAGTATACTTTCTACTGGGCTGGTTCGAAAGGCGCCAGTAGCTAGTCTTGCTGCTGTATTTTGTATAGGCTCTAAGAGTTGTAGTAGTTTTGATTTTGCCGAGATGTAAGCAATTGATCCGTAGTCTAATTTTGATAGAACTAATGCTTGATAAGTCTTTTTAATTATTTCTTGTTCTGCTCCCCATTTTCTTGAAGCTAATACTTTTAAAAGATTAAGCCTTTTGCTGCAGCTATCTTTAAGGTTTAATATGTGATTTTTCCATGTTAGTTTTTCGTCAAGGATTAATCCAAGTATTTTCACTTCTTTTAATACCGGTAACTTGTGATTGTTTAAAAATAGTTCTATTTCTACTTTGTTTTTGTTTTTGTTGTTTTTTTTGAAGACGGTGACTGTGGTTTTAGACTGTGAGAATTTGAATCCGGTATTATTGGCGAACGACTGTAATTTGTTTAGTGTATTTTGAAGAATTTGTTGAGTGGTATTAATGTTTTTTCCTGCGATCATAATAGTTACATCATCTGCATACATTGTACATTTGATAGGAGTAGGGAGAGATTGCATGATATCGTTGATGGCTAGTAAGAAAAAGGTGACACTTATAACTCCTCCTTGTGGTACACCGTTTTGAATTTCAGTTAACTCTGAAAGCTGCCCATTTACTCTTACTCGAATGGTCCTATTTTTTAGATAGTTAATTGCAAAATTGAGCATATGTCCATTTATTTGGTTTTTTGCAAGTAATTGAATGATTCTATGTTTCCAGACCATGTCGTATGCTTTTTCTATGTCTAACGCGACAAGTGCTAGGTGTTGGTCATTGATGAAAGCTTCGCAAACAGCTGTTTCTATAGTAATGAGGCTGTCGGTTGTGGAGTGAAATTGCCTGAATCCATGTTGCTGTGGAGAGATTAGATTTCTGGATTCTAGATACCATTTGAGCCTGTTATTGACCATCTTCTCCATAAGTTTGCACATGCAGCAGGTTAATGCTATAGGTCTATAGTTTTCCTTGAGGCTTGGGTGTTTGCCTGGTTTTGGTATAGGAACAACTATTGCTTCTCTCCATTTGTTCGGGAAAATGTTCTTTTGCCATATACTGTTGAAAATAATTAAAAGGTATTGTAGTCCTGAGGTTGGTAGATTTTTCAAAAAGATGTTAGGTATATTGTCTGGTCCAGCACTGGTGTTTTTGCACGAATAGAGAGTGTTTTGCATTTCTGATAGTGAAAATTCTTTATTTAAGATATTTGAACTGCTGTTTGCTTCTGTTTCGTTGAAATAGTTTTGCTGTGTTTCTGCTTCTGTTTTTATTTTTAAAAAGTTTTGGTTATAATTGTCATCGCTTGAATTTTTTTCAAAATTTTGAGCTAGAAGATTGGCTGCTTCCAAGGAGTTGCATGTATATGTGTTTTCTGTCTTAAGGATAGGTGGAGTTTTCATGTATTTTTTGTTGTTGTTTATAGAGCGGATTTTATTCCATATCTCTTTGTCTGG